CTCATGGCGTAAGTGTTGTGTTTTGAAGAAGCGGTGACTCTGACTAGTCCTCTTTAGCGCAGCGCAGAAATACAGTAGCGCTCTACTGACACCTGCTGGAGATCATCTGACACTCCATCATCACAGATACAGCTTTCATATTGATACCGATCGATTAAACTATCTATTAACTACAAAAATATATGCAATATACTTATTTTTCTTGACATTACTTGTTTTGTGTTATACTGCTTTGGCAATATTGTATGTAAACATAATCATGACATTAAAATACTTTCAATTTAATTAAAATTGATAGAACAGTTTCAAACCTACCAGAGTTATTATCATTAACTAAAACTTATGACATTTTAATTAATTTGAAATAAAATAAAAATACTTTACATAACTAAAATTAAATAAAATGTAAAAAATCTTCAAATGATTTTATTTAATTAGCTGCCAGTTAGTTTCAGTTAAATGTGAAGTACTACAACTGAAATAAAAACTAATAAAATCCATATAGACTTATTTAAAACATGGCGTAAGTGTTGTGTTTTGAAGAAGCGGTGACTCTGACTAGTCCTCTTTAGCGCAGCGCAGAAATACAGTAGCGCTCTACTGACACCTGCTGGAGATCATCTGACACTCCATCATCACAGATACAGCTTTCATATTGATACCGATCGATTAAACTATCTATTAACTACAAAAATATATGCAATATACTTATTTTTCTTGACATTACTTGTTTTGTGTTATACTGCTTTGGCAATATTGTATGTAAACATAATCATGACATTAAAATACTTTCAATTTAATTAAAATTGATAGAACAGTTTCAAACCTACCAGAGTTATTATCATTAACTAAAACTTATGACATTTTAATTAATTTGAAATAAAATAAAAATACTTTACATAACTAAAATAAAATAAAATGTAAAAAATCTTCAAATGATTTTATTGAATTAGCTGCCAGTTAGTTTCAGTTAAATGTGAAGTACTACAACTGAAATAAAAACGAATAAAATCCATATAGACTTATTTAAAAAAAGTAATGAAAAAGTAAACAAAGTTACTAAAAACAACAACAACAACAAAACAACAACATCAAAGTTACTACTGTGCAATTAATCTCACTTCAGTATTTTATAATGGCATGATTGTGTTTACATACAAGCATAATTACACATTATTACAGAAATGATCCAAATGAGTTTCTTCCACGCTGCTCTATTATTGTGGGAACCGGTTTAGATCAGCTCGCCTCTAAATGACAAGTTGAATCAAAGCTAACCGATTGGTCGTTTTACCTGTCAATCAGACGCTCTCTTCCTGTGTAAGTGTTGGTGTTTTGGTCAGAATAAATGTTGAAGTGTATCAGACTGCATGAAGTCATGAGAGCCGGTTAATTTCTCTCCTGAGATCCTGCCGCAGTGTGTTATAGAAGTACTGCACCTCCTGCTGGGAAAGACCACAGTCACACTCAAACTACACACCTGAGTGAGTGAATGAATGAATTTATCCAGCAGGAATTGATTGGATGGTAAACATTGTCTCTATATGAATATGGTAGATAATAAGAGGCAGGGTTATTATCATTAACTTAAACAATTAAAAACAGTTTTGTTCATTGAAATAAAGCTGAAATTAAATCAAATATAAATATTGGATAAAAACTTAGTAAATTAGAAATGTTGCCTTGGCAATTAACTGAAATGAGTTTCTAAAATTACTAACTGCAATTAAATAAACTAAAACTGAAATAAAAAATAAACATAAATTAACCTAAATATTAATATTTAAAAAGAGCAAACACTAATAAAAATGGACAAAAACACATATCAAATGACTAAAACTTAAACTAAAATTAAATGAAAATATTTTTAAAATAATACATAAAAATATAAAATATGTAAAGAAATAATAAAATATAAAATAAAATATAAAAACATAAAATAAATCAAATATATAAAAAAATGAAAAGTGAAGATTTTAAAAAATGCAACAGTTTGTTGAACCTTTAGACAAAATATAAAAAGTTTGCATATGTTTTATGTTGAGCATCATATTAGACTCATCAGGCTTTTATGGCTCATAGAGTCTGATACAGTGAGAATATAGAGGAAAAACAGCTCAGTTTATAATGCAGTGATTGAGAGCTGAAGAAATAAAGGCTCCTCAGAAGATGTGAGATGTTCTGGAGGCTTGTGAAGATCATTCCTCCGCTGAGGAACAGTGAAAGTAAAGCTTCTGGAAACAAACGCTCCTCAAAAGATCCTGAGGATCAGATTTGAGACTCTAAAACATGATTGATGGAGAATCAAGTAAAGCTGAGCTGCTTCAGTCCAGTAAGTGTTCATCTGGAGATATTACTGCAGTTATTCTGACGCTTACTTGATCAAAATCAGTCAAGATTTGACACGAGAAGCTCCAGCTGAAGCAATTACACTAAAATAACTGTGATTATGTGCAATTACAAGTTTTTATCATGTTGATCATTTAGAGGCCTCAGAAATATGCATTTCAAATATGATAGAGTCACTTTAAAATAGCAAATGTATGGATTATGAAGCTCCTCGTACGTGTCTCTCATAGATCTGTCTGATGCTGAGCTGAAACACACATTCACTCATCAGAGACTCATATTCCTCAGATATACTCATAACAGCATCAGAGTTCAGATACTCGCTGAAGACTGATCTGATTCTTCTCTCTCTAAACTGCGTTTAAGTGTAGTATTTAGGTCAATGCAAGGGAAAGTCTAAAGTATATCAAAAGAGTGAATTTAGATCAATTGTGCCACTTTTGACATTCATTTGAGATCCAAATTAACTTGAATTCGCCGTGCATTTACGTGCAGACAAAATTAACTTTCTAAAGCTGTGTTATTATTTACCTTATACAGTTTACAGTAGCTACACGCATATGCCACTTTAATGCTTGATGTGAGTTTAAGGGACGGCGTGTGATCGTGCTGGTTTATTATTAGTCAGTAAATGTGGTTAATCTCAGGCACACGTGGAGTGGAATGAAGTTCTTCAGCAGAAAGCGCTGAATGAGACTTTGTGCGTCACTGTTGCCCCCTGCAGGACACCACATGTACTGCACTGTACTGTAAATACTCGCCAGAAGCATCGAATAAAACAGTGAAGATGAAATAGAATTAATTAAAAAGGCTCCAGGAACTGTAACAAAAACAATGCAATAAACCATATTGGAATCAATCATTATTATTTTTGCTCTACTGACAAAATTAGACATTCTTATCAAACCTATAGTTCAATTATTTAATCTGTTACTTTCACTGTTTAATTCAAATTGTTCATTTGAATTGTGAATTCTGTTGATGATTTAAAAAAAATAATAATTAAATGAATGCGAAAACTATGGAAGAAAAATAATGACAAATGTCTTTGAAATGATAAAGCATGTCAAATTGCACTAACTGAAAAAAATAATGCATCGCATTAACAGTGCTTGCATTTTAATGCCTTGAAATTCAACATAGTTGTATATTTAAGCTGTGAATATTTCAATTCATAAAATTTCACACACATTTTCATAATTAAAAATTAAATAATCCATATTCACCTTCCAGAGTTTACAAATACGATGCATAATACTCGACAGGCAACTTTCAGTCGGCAGAAAATTCAGCATTACACAGCCGGGACCTGCAGGAATAGCAGTAGAGTACCTGTCATTTTAATATAATTTTTAATGTTTTTTTTTTCTTAAAAATAGTTGTGTACTGTACATATGTAGTATTAGTATTGTCTAAGGTGAGATATTGGCAATATATTCCGTCAGTTTGCCCTCCAGGCATTTACTGTAGCCCTGTAAACATTAAACTGAATGAATGATTGGACTTAATATCAATACTTGTGATTAAAGCACGTGTGGAACCTGATGATGATGCTCTTCATCAGAAAATACAGATTTATACAGAATTGTCATTATTATTATTATTATTATTGCAAAGATAAAAACATTTCAAATGATTAATCTTTAATATAGATCTGTTTCAATAAACTCTACAACAATCAAACAAATAATAAATAAATTATTGAATAAGTAAGTAAATAAATAAATATGTCAGGAAGGGTATAACAATAGACAATAAACAATGACTGTATGTGTTCAACTTGGGTGTGGATAATGATTTATATAAATGTATATGCAATACAAACATTGTTCAAATTATTATTATTATTATTATTATTATTATTATTACTATTATTATTATACAAACCTTTATTAAAATGAGTAATCTCATAATATAATATCTATTTAAATAAACTCTGTGGCAAATAAATAAGTAAATAAATAAATAAATACAGTGCCAGGAAGGGTAATAAAATAACAACATACATTTGAAAATGAATATTATTTTCAATTATATATATATATATATATATATATTTAGTGTAAATAAGGATTTCAAAGTTTTTGCTCTACTGGGAAAATAAACTTTAAATGACTGAATATGTTGAGTTGTTTCATTAAAATTGTGGGTGGGGTTAAAAGTGGGCGGTCGCTCATGTTTGTTTAATCAGCGAAAGCGACGCGCTACCCGCAGTTTCTCCTTCACGTGCATCGTATCAATTCATTTTAAATTCATTTTGGAAAGGTTTAAGCACATGCAGAATGACTTTTCAGCTCTGGCTTAGAGACTGGATGAAAGAAGACTGGAGAATAAAAGTGTCTGTGGTGAACTCAGAGGAGGAATTCAAGAACACCACAGTTGAAGAGTTGAAAAGAAAACTCTTGTCTGAAGACGAATGTGAGTCGAGCGCTTCAGTGTTGGGTTTCTATGGTTATGCTCCATGTATGGTTCTGTATTCATTAATTATCAAACAGTTCACAAACGAGTGTTAACCAAACATGTCTTAAGCTGAAAATAAAACTTGTTCTCTAAGAATTCGATAAAGAAGCGGTGAAGAAAATAAGGTATTCATCTCATCTAATTCTTCTTACACAAAGGTTTTACATTTATACGTCCAACCAGTTCTTACATGAAGGATTTCCATGGGAGAATAATTCATGCGGATTCTGTGAAACAACAGAACGCAGTTTCAAGTGTCAACTTGTTGAAGAATTTTGGGCTTGTATTTCAGAAGCCGTTTCGATGCATGCTGGACAGAAATGCCCTGAAACTTCTGTCTGTTTTGAGCTTGTTAATGTTACTGGGATCTCTCTTCTCTCTTCTGTTTGTTTTCTGTCAACACACATACTGTATGTTTCATTGTAGAAGTACACATACTTCAATATTGTTAAAAAATGACATAAATGTTTGCAAAAGAAAGGGCTTTGTATATTTACACGTGACTGCACAGAAATGCATGCAGTGTAAAAACCAAGCTTTTTTTACTTTTTAGAAAGCATTTTACAGACTGCTACAATATACATTTGTGGTTAATCTTCTGCATTAAAGTCAAATTATCCATAGATTGAGTCCTGGAGATGTCTTTATCTTCTTCTTCATCATCATCTTCAAATGAACGTGTTTCTGTGTGAGATGATGTGAAAAAGAACAACAAAACATCTGTCAGAAGTGGAGAGATATCTTGTCGTAAATCTGTCTATCGCTAGCTTTAACTTTAATTATGCGAAGGGTCAATAATTAAAGGTATTTTACACTCGTCAATTCAAATAGCTAAGCAAAGCAGGAAAATGCCTGATGTGTATAAAAGTTATATGTAAATAACTACTGCCAGAGAAAACAAGCATTTGTCGACTTTTGACTCAAAAGTAACTGAGAGACAAACCTTCTGTCCAACGCCCTTCAGAAGAACATAGCTGGCTCCTCACTGTATAGCTGGCTGAAATAAAGGGTCGGTTAGTTTAAGGCTATAACAGGACTATAATCATTTAGTAATAGTTGTGTAATGCATACTTCCTCGGGGGACCCTGAAGATATCATCCTCGTGTTTAATGCCATAGGATCCAAGTGTGTGCTTTTTCTTCAGTGTTTGGAAACGGTACACAAGAATAGAGCTTTCATCTATACAAGAAACACATGAGGATCAGCAAACACCAATATATCAACATTACAAAGAGAGATTAAGTTTTCCTCATTAAAATATGACATCAGAATTATGTTTTTGTTTTTTTTTGCTATTTTCAAACTGTGCATTGTCAGACGTCTCAATAGAAAAGTGCTGATTTTCTTTGTTAATATCACAGTATATCGTCACATATGATACCTAATAGTCTATTTTTAAATTTATACCTTCAATACAAAGTTCTCTCATTTCTGATGTGCTGTTACAGTACATTACAATCTGCTAAAAGGGGGATGGATTTATCAGCAATGGATGCTCTGCAGTGAATGGGTGCCGTCAGAATGAGAGTCCAAACAGCTGATAAAAACATCACAATAATCCACAAGTAATCCACAGCACTCCAGTCCATCAGTTAACATCTGGAGAAGACAAAAGCTGAGACAAATCCAGCATTAAGACGTTTTTAACTAAAATACCATAGAGTCCATAATCCATAATAACGCTTCCTCCAGTGAAAAAGTGTTCTGGTGTGAATCAGGAGAGAAATCTGCACAGATCAAGCAACGTTTAAACAGCTCTAAACAAATATGTGGCTGGATTCTGATGTGAGAGACAACAGAGATGCACTTTGATGGTGACAGAGTCGTCATGTCTCTGTAGGTGTGCGAGTAAACGCTCAGACCGCAGTGTTTGAGTCTCAGCAGCAGATGTCAGTGTTTCTCTTCCAGTTCATTCCTCAGGCTTCACAACTGACGGAGCTGCTGAAATTCACCTCTGTGCTGCTGTTGTTGTTTTCTCCAGTTTTTCTGTGAGATCTTACATTTTAGAAGGTGTCAGGAACGATAGAAGAGCTGATTTAGCACCGCACACAGACCGAATCCCTCTTGTGTTCAGGCCTGCAGCATCACTGACTGCTTCGATGCGCTAATCAACAGATCTTTGTCTTTTAAATTAAATTGCTGATTGATGATGAGGATGATTTTATGATCATTTCAGTGATGAGGGTTCCTCCGGTGTGTTGCGTAACACAGATCTCATTAATAACGTAAAGGCTTCATCATCATTAGCTTCAGCAGAGAGTGTGTGATAATGACGTCACATGACCTCAGAGCTCCAGCTGATGATGTCATCGCAGAGGATAGCACTCTGCGCCGATCAGGAGGAGTGTGTGTGTGTGTGTGTGTGTGTGTGTGTGTGAGTGTGAGAGAGAGTGTGTGTGTGTGTGTGTGTGTGTGTGTGAGTGTGAGAGAGAGTGTGTGTGTGTGTGTGTGTGTGTGTGTGAGTGTGAGAGAGAGTGTGTGTGTGTGTGTGTGTGTGTGTGTGAGTGTGAGAGAGAGTGTGTGTGTGTGTGTGTGTGTGTGTGTGAGTGTGAGAGAGAGTGTGTGTGTGTGTGTGTGTGTGTGTGTGAGTGTGAGAGAGAGTGTGTGTGTGTGTGTGTGTGTGTGTGTGAGTGTGAGAGAGAGTGTGTGTGTGTGTGTGTGTGTGTGTGTGAGTGTGAGAGAGAGTGTGTGTGTGTGTGTGTGTGTGTGTGTGTGTGAGAGAGAGAGAGAGAGAGAGAGAGTGTGTGTGATTTATATTGGCATTCTCTCATGCAACTCTTTCACATGAAGAAAACCGTATTTTTTTACTTATTGACATACATTATGAGATTGCATTCGTTGTTCCATCCTCTTGACCCTTAGGCTTGAAAAATACTTTCATGCATGCATAGATTTTTTTTAATTTTTATTTCCTTTAGAATAATGTGCACTGATCAGTCATTCACAAGAACAGCGCAGTATAAAATGTAATAATCACATAATGAAATGAATAAATAAAATAATGAAGTGAATAAAAATGATTAATTAATAAATAATGTGTGAATAAACAAATGAACATTTTAAATAAATTAAATATTAAAATATGAAATTAATAAGTAAAATAAATCCATAAATAATAATGTGCATAAATAAGCAAAATATATTAATAAAAAAAGAAATGAATGCATTTAAAATAAAATAAATAAATAATAAAATGAAGTGAATAAATACATTTAATAAAAACTTAAAAAATGAAATTAAGTAAAATAAATAATGAAGTGAATAAATGAAGTGAATAAATAAATAGATTTAATAAATTAAGCAATGAAATAAATAAACAGAACAAAAAGAAGTGAATAAATAAATCTAATGAAAACTTCAATAATTAATAAGCAACCAAACACATGAAGATAGCCTCCACACTTGTATGTCAGCATGCAGCAGTATTTTCGAGGCGGGAGACAGTGTTTGTAGGATCACGGGCGTCTTGTGTTTCTGTCTGAGCGCTTAGAGACTCGAGAGAGTGTGTGTTTTGACAGTCGTTAAACTGAAGCTGTCATGAATAATTAATCATCCACGTTTCAGCGGGAAACCAGCGGCACCTGGAGGATTTGCACACGCTCGTCTTGGGTTTCTGCTCATAAAAGCGCAGCTCCTGCTGATGGGTTTATAGGGTCGTAACAGCCTCGATTAGCCCCTCGTTTACGTGCCGTCCAACAGTTTTACATGCACTCTGAAAAATAAGCAATGTTAGTGCTGCTTGAGCTTTTACAGTCTTTCATTGTGCTTTGAATGTAAGCCAACATGATGCACAGAATAAAATGTTTCTGTGCTCTACACAAACATCAACACACGGGTTTGGAGGACAGAGTGCTCATTTTTGGTTGAACAACTTCTTTAATGAACTCTTTCTGTGTTTTCCGATCAGATCTGACGTTCTCTGTCTTCTTCCTCAATGAAGAAACGCCGGTTTGTCTTCATGGAGCCAAAGTGCACTGTTCATTAGGCCTCTCTTTATGACCACAGCACTGGCTGGCCCTCGTCAGATCCATAAACTACAGCAGCGTCAGCAAAGTTTGGTCATTAAGAGACATTTAAACGTAATTATTTATTGATAGCTCTTATGATTTACTCTCCGAGTGAATGTTTATGCGCCGTGTCTGCGCTGCGAGATTGGAGACGCGGCTTTACGGCCGTTTAAAGACCGCAGCGCTCGGGAGATTATTAGCATGTTAGCATCTGCTCTCTGCGCCGCCAGAGATAAAACACGAGGCTGTGGAAAGAGCTTTTAGCGCAAATGCTTCATCTTTAGCTCTTTGTCCTCGTGAAATCATCAGATCCCAAAATCAATTGGCTTTGTGTGGCTTTTAAAGGAACAGTTCACCCAAAAAAGAAATGAGTTGCTCTCAGGCCATCCAAGCGAATGAATTGCAGTGAATGGGTGCTGTCAGAATGAGAGTCCAAACAGCTGATAAAAACATCACAATAATCCACAAGTAATCCACAGCACTCCAGTCCATCAGTTAACATCTGGAGAAGACAAAAGCTGAAACTAATCCAGCATTAAGACGTTTTTAACTCAAATACGATAATAATCCATAATAATGCTTCCTCTAGTGAAATAAATACATACATTTGATAAAAAAAATTAAAGAATGAAATAAATAAAATCAATCAATAAATGAAGTGAATAAATAAATAAACAAATGAAGTTCAGTAAAAATAAATAATTAAATGAATAAGTGAAATAATTAAGTGTATAAATACATGTAGGCCCGGTTTCACAGACAGGGTTTAGCCTAAACCAGGATTAGGCAATAGTTCAATTAGGACATTTAAGTAACTTTTATAAACGTGCCTTAGAAAAAACATTACTGGTGTGCATCTTAAGACAAAACAAAGGCACTGACATGTTTTAAGATCAGGCAGAGCAAGTTTCTTTCAGTTGAAACAGCTCAGATTTACATTTTAGTCTTGGACTAGGCTTAAGCCTCGTCTGTGTAATCGGGGGTTAGTTATTTAATTTTAAATTAAATAATTAAACAATGAAATGAATAATTAAACACTGATGTGAGTGAAGGAATCAATGAATAAATACATAATGATTTGCCTCCATACTTGTGTTTTTAATAACATTTTTATTAAATGTATTAATTTATTTACATTTTGTTATTTATTTAATTAATAATTTAATTATTTGTTAGTTATTCAAATTATTAATTTACTTATTCACTTCATTATTTATTTATTCATTTCATTGTTTAATTAAAAAATAATTTAATTATTTATTTTAATTAAATGTATTTATTGTTCATTTATTTATTTATTCCCTTCAGTGTTTATTTTATTTATTTATTGTTTAATTTTGAAAAAATATGTATTTATTTATTTGTGTGTGTGTGTGTGTGAGTGTGAGTGAGTGAGTGAGTGTGTGTGTGTGTGTGTGTGTGTGATTTAGTGTGTATTTTAAAAGCTGCTTGTAGGATGGTCTGTATGGTTTCTTGCTGGCATCATATCATCTTGTTTGGTAGAATATCTTATGTTGCATTTGCTAAATTAATAAATGTACATGTAATCTTGGTGTATATGAACTTATGACAAATATTCTCTACACAAACAATTAAATGCTTTGTATTTTAGAGGTTTTATTAAAGAGAGCATAAAGGAATCTCTTTGAAATACGGCAGCAGCTAGTCATAAACGGTCTCTGTGTGCGGCGCTCTCATATAAAGCTGTTATTTAAGAGCCAGTAATTAGATTGAAGTTGCAGTGTAAAGCACTCTATATCAAATTAATTGCAGCCATTAAGACACGCTTTGATGCGAAGTGAGGCTTTATTGTGCATGTCACGCGTGTGTGTTTGACTCGAGTCCCTGCGCTAACATTCTCCAGAGCGATGAAGATGAAGCCGCTGAGATGAAACACATTTGGC